TCTTCACTCACCCACTCACTCTCACCCTTTTTCTTTCCTCCCTCCTTCTTTTTTCCTCCTTCCCTCCCTCCCTTCTTCCTTTCTTTTTCTCTCCCTTCCTTCTTCAATCACCCACTCATTCTCACCCTTTTTCTTTCCTCCCTCCCTCCTTTTCCCTCCCTCCCTCTTTTCTTTCTTTCTTTCTTTCTTTCTTTCTTTCTTTCTTTCTTTCTTTCTTTCTTTCTTTCTTTTTCTTTCTTTCTCTTTCTTTCTTTCTTTCTCTTTCTTTCTTTCTTTCTTTCTTTCTTTTTTTCTTTCTTTCTTTCTTTCTTTCTTTCTTTCTTTCTTTCTTTCTTTCTTTCTTTCTTTCTTTCTCTTTCCTTCCTTCCTTCCTTCCTTTCTTTCCTTCCTCCCTTTCTTGATGAAGGGCAGCTATGGAGGTGTATTGGTGCAGCGGCTTAAAGATGCTGCATCTGCCCACCAGAAATGTTCAAGCCCTGGTAGCACTGCAGGATGGAGTGAGCTCCCATCACTCACCTTTAGCTCCTGCCCTACCAACCCAGCAGCTCGAAAGCATTATTGTGAGTAGATTAATGGGTACTATTCTGGTGGGAAAGGCTAACGGCGCAAGGAGAACGGGAGCCGCCACTGGACCTGCTTGGACACGAGGCGAGATTGGCGGAAGACGCCCCGGAAGATGTCACCAACCTGAATGCCGCTAGCCAGATGGTGCATGCTACTTCACCCCCCCTTTCCCCCGTGACACACCGTGGATAAGCATGCAGGCGCAAAAGCAAACAAGCTAGCAATTAGGCTGCCAGGACTCCTCTGTAAAGTGTAAATCTCCTTGACAAATGCATGCCATACAAAAATATTGTAAAAGTGGGCAGATACTTCCCTACAGGAGGAAGAGTGCGTTGGGGCAGAGAAGGCACAGAATAGGCCTTAGTCCACACCCTTTGTGGCCAGGCTTCCATTTTTGCACGCCAGACATGCGCTAACGCTTTCCAATGCTGGCTGTATTTATTTATTTCCCCTCACCTGCCTTAAGCAGCCGTCCTTGGCCCGCTGCCTAAAAACAAGCCAGGAATATTTGTCAACAGCTTGCCGGGGACCTTCCAGTCTGAAGCCAACCGAGTCCTCGGGGAGGTGAGGGAAACCATCACGACTGATAGAAACAGACAAGACTTTGATTCGGGGAGGGAGAAAGTTGATCTCCCAAGGAGAGAGGCACACCACAACAGTCACCGCTCCGGCAAAGAAGCTGAACCGAGATCAGCCGGGCGCATTCCTGTTCAGGGCTGCGTTGCCGCCACAGCTGCCCGGATCAGCTCTCACCACAACAGGCTCTCTGCTTCGTGAGACAAAGCCACCGTGGGTGTCAGGAAATCAAGCCACGTCGAGTCACATGCACCAGTGTGTCTACTACAAACACAGAAGGGTGAACCGCTGTAGACGAGGCCGCCTCTGCAGAGATACCAATGCTGTTTCCCAACAGTGGAGACTGGAGTGATTTTACCATACATGTTTTTTGACCGCAATAATACGATGGCAGAGCAGGGAATGCCTGCAGCAGATTTTCCCCCCCGAAGAAGAAATAATGAAAAAGGATCGATGTGATCAACACCAAGATGAGCTCTGATGTTCGTTGAACACCTCAGACTCCATATTTAAAAATCCCCCCTCCTTCAAAAGCGAGGGAGGGGGATATTTTGCTGATGGCCAAGGAATTTGGTTGCTTTGGAGGGCTCAGAACAAAGGGCCACGAATTTCGCCATTCAAAACACGCTGGAGATACGAAAGGAGGTTGCAGCCCTCTTTGGAAATCACACCTCCGCAGTTACTGAAATTGTTTCTGGCATTGTTCATCGTCTCGCTCGGAACGGTTCAAAGGCAGAGAGCCAAAAAAAAGAAGAAGAAGAAAAGAAAAGGAGGGAAAATGTGATTGGATCTATCTGTGGATCAGAAAAGTTAGAGATTAAGTGTCGGTGACGCAGCAGATTAGAAGCCGAATTCGGACATTTCGAACTAACCAACAGGGGGTTGTTTTCTCTTGAATCAAGTCGACAAAAATTGCTTTCCCAGCAGGAAACGGTTAGGATTGGAAGATCAGACAAATCCTGACCCATAAAATCACACTGACTCCAATTCTTCTGATCAAACCATGTGGCTGTATAGCGTTCTTTACAGACAAATGTTCATTAAATCTACGACAGGAAGTTACTAGTCCAGATCTACAATTATCATAGACCAGTTCCTTTCTTATTCTCCCCGTTCCTTTGAGGGTCTGCCTTCAAGGAACATTCTGTGGTTTGTTAAACCACAGTTTCCTGTGATTTCCAAAGTAGGAAACTGCTTTAAGGACCACTTACAAACCAAGATATCAAGCCAGAATTTTCCTTGAATCAGGACATCTAAAGATGAGGGGGAAAAAGGAAGAAGAAAGGAGGACTTGTGGAAGCCCAAGGCTTATTTCCTCATTTCAATTAAACCACTGATGCAGGAAATGATCAGGCTGAGCCTGAGGAAGGTGTCAAATGCGTCATCAGTCTCATGTCCCTTTGCACCCACAAGAGATCTAAGTCCAGCCCACCTTGAATTCCTTTTGCTCTTATCCCCTGCTAATTTCCCTTGGCTGCTAGTAGTTGCGATTCTTGTAGAGAGCTT